TATATATATATATATATTAGTACCCAATAAATAAGATAATTTGAAATAAAAAAAAGTTTCTCCTGTTTCAGCTGACAGGCAGAACTGCTTGATAATAATTTGTCAAGATGACAAAGTCTGCAAAGCTCAAAGGGATCTTCAGTCACCACGGGTTCTGTCTGACCTCTACTCATGTAGATTTGCCTTCTTTTCATTTTTAAATAAGGCAAGAACACAAAAAAAGTTCAATGCCTCAACAGTTGCCCTGTTTATGTGAATCAAACCAGCTGGGTACCCCAGTTCTATGTTACACACAGACTAAACAAATATTGCTTCTGGATACATCACACTTTTTATTGACATAGTATGAACAAAATTAGATTTACCAAATAAAATGTGCAAGCAATAGTTAGAAAATAAGCCAACTTGATTAAATTTACATATATTAAAGTGTTTTTCAAAGTCTTGATTCTGTGACCACAAAGTCACATAGAAAGTGTTGTGTGACAGGCTTATGTATTAATCCTTAGATGGGGTCCAAAACAGTATTTGTTGATGCATTTAAGAATATTTTTTTATGTCTCAGTTGCATATATAAAAATAGCCAAATGTTTTAAAATGACATACTATTAGGAGTTTATTTCTTTAACAAACTAGAATCTGTTATATTGTGCTTAGTAATTAGAGAAGTAGAAAAAGCACAAAAATATTTCATTTTCCTAAAGTACAAACTCATAGCACATAAGAGATATGCAACTAAACCACAAGTCTAAGTAAGCTCTGTGCACAGCCTCTAGTTTGGTTTCATCTACTGGAAAATGAAGCGATTAAGGTAGATTATATTTGCCATGTTTATGCCATTCAAATCAGGAATGAGGACTTCCAGCTCACGATACACAGCCTTTTCTAAAATCTCCTTTTAGCATCCCATATTCCCAGAGGTTGCACACAGACAGGTTTTGGCCCCTGTCTGTGTGCATTATGAATTCTGGTCTCTTGATGGCTGAGCTGTTTGAACACTTTTTTCACTACACAGCCAAAGGCTCTGATGCAGGCTGACATTTCTATCCTATGTTTCGAAACCAGCTGCTAAAATTACAGATTATGCTGTGTGATTATTTGCTAAATAACAGCCCACTTTATGTCACGAAACAAATGTTGTGATATGAACCCATATCTATTTTCTTAGGTTTAAAAATGACACTTCAACTTCCACTTCAACAGACTTGATGTGTTACCATGATTATTAATCTCACACAGTAAAAACCTGTCATTTGTTATTGCATTTGTGCTTGCAAAGCTGTAATAGTAAACATAGCTTTTGTGGTGTATACATATGAGGTGTGAAAACAGTGTTATATGCTGGCAGCTGTTCCTCCTTTAAGTACTCCCAGAACCATGTTGTTGTCTAACATTAGATCTGCCATAATTTGCTCCATTTTAATGCCATGGAATGTTGCTAATGCTGCTAATCTCAGACTTATAACTGCATGGAAAATCTCTCACTGTGACTGGCTACTTACCTGTTAACACATTTCATCTGAATGCAAAGCACCAACCCCAAGGCTGTGGAACTAACTTTTCACTCAACCCAAATTATTTTTCACAAGTTCCTCTTCGTTTGGTATTTTTTATTGTTACAATGTGGTCTACTTTACTATGTTTTACTGCACTGCCTTAAAATGAATTTTGGCAATTTTGTATGACTGACACAATTATTTTACAAAAATATATACTGCCATAAAATCTATGTTCTACTGCTTGGATTGGATAGACTCTCTATATGCTGACAGACGGGTTAAAGAAGGCGCATGATTTTTCTTTTTGCCAAATCAGCTACACTATCACGCTCATGTACCAGGCCCCTTCAAAATCACTATGAAATCGCTGAGTGTAATTAAAAGATGGCTTTAAGTGAGCCATCTGCAATCCTCCTACACATATGCTCAGCCTGAGATGAACAGGAACCCCATGAGATTCAGATGGCGTGTGAGGTTAAGTTTACAGTGTTGGGTGTTAAAGATGCTCTTTAAGGGGCAATTCCTTGGTTTTAATTCACATTTCAGTTTTGCTACTTCAATTATGTCATTGCTGACCAAGCACACATTAATGTCCAAAAACACGTTTAATGTAAGAAGCTACTTATTGCACAAAGCATATACATGCATATGAAATTCAAGCAGTTAAGCAGGTGATGCCCATATCTAACTTTCAGTGTCTTATCAGTGCATGATTCTGTCATAAAGGCTTTTAGCTGTCTTCCTGCATTTTCTGAACTTTTAACATTTTTTTTTTTACTATAGCGATATGAAGAAAGATGCCAGTTTTTTTGTTTTTGTTTTGATCTCGCATTTAACTTCTCTGTGCCATTTTTGTCTTCTTCTCTCCTCTACCCCTCAAAGATGATGAACCAGTTGGGCAAATGTAAGTAAACAAGTATCTTTATTGCCACAAATATAATTCATATGGGGATACTGTGATCTGCATGCCCATTACCTTTATGCCACTAAATTGTAAGTGCTTCTTTCCTAGGAAAACAAATTCAACAAACAACCACAAGGACAAAAACATTCGCCAGAGGAATACGAAATAAGCAATTTACTCAAGTAAGACACTGTTGTAGAGGATTGGGGCTAAATATAGAACCCACTGTGAGGATTATCCATAGTCACGCCTTCTCTTGAATTTCTCTCCACAGATGAGATGGCTAAACTGCATTTTTTTTGACTACGTGAAGGTGTCAGAGGTGGATGGAGCTCTGGGCAGTTTTGAAAAAAGCATATCTTGTCTCATTTTATGAGAAACAATATCAGCATAACACTGGCAACAAAAAGAACATAATGGCTGTCTTAAGCATGCCTTATTCAGTCTTAAGTGGAGATTTCAGGATGAAGAATAATGACTAAAACCACCACAGAGGTGTACACATTTTTAATGTGCTGTTGATGTCTCCTTTCTTGATTTTATCATGTCCTCAAATGAGGTGATCCCTTTTGTATTACATATCATGTACAATGCATGCAAGATAATTACAACGCAATAGGATACTCAGAATAGACATTTTCTGTTGTTATCCCTCGTGTGGCTTTTTTGCATCGAAAATTACCTTTTTTATGGAGTCATCCTTGCATATACACGTGTATATATATATATATATATATATATATATATATTATTCTTGAAAATTTGTACAGCATATCATGGTCATTTAACTATATTTGATTTGTGACAAGATGTCTACTTTTAACAGAACTTTTATTGTGAAGCAAGGGCTTCAATGTCTGAAGCAATGACTTCAATGACTGGCAGTATTTAAATTTAAATGAGAGTGCTTACAGAAAATGACTACTGTGTGTTTAACTATCTTAACAAAAATAATATACGTATTATTTTTATTTCCTTTCCAGAGTAACTTAGGTGTCTTGTATATGTTGAAGTATGAGTGTTCAAATGATAGGAAAGGTGTAAAAAAAAATATTTTTTTTATAATTCCCAATTTCATTAACTGATTTTTATTTTGTTCCTCTCTTTAACTGTATAGCATGGCTATAATCCTATGCAATATGTATTCTTAAATAGATATATGGAGGGCAGTTTGTTTTACTCAGTGAAGCTTTAATATTGTGGGATCACTTGGAAGCTGGCATAGCAAAATTCACTGCTGTAGCTGCATGACTCCTCTTTCAATACAATGTATCCATGTGTGGTGCAGTGGAAATGGACCTGCATTAAGGTGGGAACGAGGGACCAGAGTACATAGCCACGATCAAACATATAAGTGAGACCAATAGTTTTTTTTTCTTTTTTTTAAATAAAAAATGTAAAACTGAATGTTTGTTTTGCAAATTCTTTAATCAACAAATGTAATGATATTCAAAGCATCCTCTTTGGCCCATGTAACATAACAACTAATGTGTAATATAATTTCAAAGAACACTGGCACCAAAGCAACAAAACACTCCTCCACCAACAGGCATTGCCTACACGAACAAGTAAAAGAAAAAGAAAAAAAAACACAAACATGCGCACACACACGCACACACACACACACACACACACACACACGCGCGCAAACTTGACCTTTCTGCCTTGAGCTCTTGTTAAGATTCTTTACTCTTCAACCAGTTTCCTCAGCTCCCCTTCCACCTTCTCTACAAATCCATAAAAGGTGGGATCCAGCAGACAAACACGCAGGAAATGCTCTAAGTCACCTTGTCCAAAAGAACTGTGTTGATATACTCGAGGTAGAGTCACAGCAGTATCTCCCAAGCAGTGCTGTGGGAGGTCCAGAAAATATTTAAGTAAAATTGAAAAAAAGAACTGATTGCGAACCCTGTGCCAGCCTTTATAATTTAAAAGAAAAGCCACTCAACAATCAGTTTGCATTTCCAAATTAAGCCTACTGCAAAATTACAACTAACATGTTGCATAGTTGAAGCTTCATTTTAATAGCAGTTAGCTTTACTGCCTCTTATGTCACAATCAATACCTGGGTAAGACGTTTGATGGACACAGTTCCTCGGACAACCCCAGGTTTAACTCCCACAGCTTTTTCCTGACAAGTCTGCTGGCACATGATGAAACACAAAAGAAGAAAAGAAGATTTGATATGCACAGCTTGACACCAGAGGGTTAAGAGACCAATCAATGGCCTTATTACTAATTGAAAGTTTTCCACCCCTCAAATCCTTTCATCTCAGCTCCTTCATTCTGTCTGTTTTCTAAAGGTCAAATTCAACCCCATAGTGGAGTCCGTTCCTTTCCCAGTCCTTCATGTTAAATGCTCTGAAGACCAGAAGCAGAAGAACTTGGTTTGCAGTTAATCATATGTTATGAACGATTTCAAGTTTAAAAATAAAGAAAGAAACGATGACTGGCTTACTGCTATGAAGGACAATGAGTATGATTGTTAAAGAAATAGTCTCACCCCTACAATAGTTCAGTATGTTTATAGAGTTTAACTTGCAACTGCTGAAAGGTTTTCAGAGCATGTTTTTTGTTCTTGTGTTTTATAAATGCTGGTTTGTTTTCTTAATCAGCAATTTCAATACTAAAGACATTATCAAGAAGTACTTTTATCAGCATTTCAAACTGTTAAATTCATAAAATATTTAAAATCCTTTCCTGCATTATAGTATATGAATCTGTTTAAATTGCTGTATTCTAAACCTTATCTTTTACTGTTATTGGCTAATGATTGATATATATTTCATAGTCTTTCTCACATACTGTAGTTGCAGTGTGACCTCTAAGAATAAGACAGCATTGTCAATAGCACCATCTAGTGAGTGCAATCTGGGGTTTTTATATAGATGGAGCTGACTACACCCTTGTGATACCACTATTTAAAATGCACAGAGTAATGCTTAGGTGACAACTTTAATTATGGCAATTTACATTATGTTGATATACTTTTTAAATTTACACAATAAAGGATGCTCCTTTTCCAGTTCCATAAAAGACTATCCCAGAAAAAAGTAAAGTCACATATTATCTCTATGTTGTGGACATCCTGGTAAAATATTTTAAATGCATGGACATAAACTAGTTCTGTTTTTGATGTTGAAATTGTATTAAATGAAATAGAAGCTGGGCAACCTGTACTGCTGGTGCAGGTACCGCAGCAGGGGGCTGATTAGGCTGTGGTGGGGCGTAATCCTGAGTGGTGACAGGTATGTACTCCATCAGTTTTTCCACAGCACTTGAGCACTCATTTATAGCCTCTGCCATGCTGCATCCATCAAACTGCATCCTTATCATGCGGCTCTCACCCTGCAGAAATCCACAAACTCAGTCTGTATCTGTCAGTCAAAACTGCGCCAAGAAAAACACAATCTGTGGAAAACGAGCTCGGGTATTTAGACACTTAAATGTAATCTTCAAGCAACAAAAGAACAAGGCAGCCGTCACAGGCAAAAAAAAAAAACAAGAAACAAAAAAAAACACCTAATCATTAAAATCTGTTGCTTTGTAAGTATTCCCCTTCAATTTGTTATGATGTTGTGAATGTAATGGTCTTGAGCTTGTAAGGGGTTTAAGATATTGCCATGGACGTTGAGATAAATTCTGTGGGATTGAAATGCATCTCACCACTCACCTTCACAATAAATCGAATCATCAGATTATCAGATTTCTGGTGTACTTTAATAGAATCTGAGCCACACAGCAAAGGAATTGTATCCTGAGAAAAGATAAGAGAACAAAGCAGAGGCATAAAACAGTTCGATCATTTTGACATGTTAATATATAAAGAAAAATATACACGAATACAATTTGAAATACTCTTATTTTGTAGCTAAATGCTTGAATTATTTAGAAAACCCAAAGTACAAAAAAAGAGCATTACAGTTTAATAAACCTGTTAAAAAAAATTGCTACCAAAAACTGTCTGCAGGGGTCTCTATTTGCTCAATAACCCTAAAGCTTCCGCTCTGAGGCTCTTGTTAAGATTTTTCACAAAAGCAGATAAACACGCTATAAGGAAACATTAGCCTGGTATTACTTAAAAACCCTGTAAACATACATTTGCTTTGACTTAAAAAAAACAACAATGTAGGTTAGTCAATTAAGGTGACTTAGAACAACTGCACTATATTATGGAGCAAGAGCTCTGTAGTCCTATAATGTCATCATTCTGCATTATGTAAAATCACACATGGCAAGCAATAGGAGAACTATCATCCTCAAATGTCCATGAAAAAGCATCAAGTTTTAAAAAACTGCACTGTGTTATATTAAAGGAAAACTTGAAGAAACTGAAGAAAATACTTTTTCTTAAAATGATAAAAAGCCTTTAGTTCTTTTTAGAATAGTAGTAATAGTATAGAAACATTATTAAGGTAATTTTGAACTTGCATTTAGAAGCTCAGAGTGATATTTGGCTTCATGCATCCAAAACAAGTCGGTCAAATCCCCTCACATTTGGGCAGAAATGTCAAGCTCTTCAACAGAATATTTCATATGGCCTTCATTGAACCCTTTTGTCTGGAAAACAGAATACGTTCTCAGATCTCAAAAAAATCTGCAGAGGAAATTCCACACATTTTCTCTTATTATTATGCTTAAAGTTTATTTAGAATGACATATATACTACATCGACTATGTTATGTAAACATTTTCATCCTTGTCCATTTAAACTAAAAAAAATTATCAAAACAAAGTATTATACATATATGGAAATGTATGTAGAAATATGTACATATGTTAACCAACCACTTCATTACAGCTTGCCAGTAGTGGAATTGGACCCTTTTTTCATGGCCTATTATATTCATTAAGGTGTAAAAAGTGCATATTGGTCCATATTTGGTTGAAAAATCATGGATTTTGTTCCATACTGGCACAATAGCATCATACAGAGTCTGCATATTTGTCAGCTGGACATCCATGATGTTAATCTACTGTTCAACCACATCCCAAAATTCCTCTATTAGATTTAGATCTTGTGATTATGGACTCCATTTGAGTACAGTAAACTCAATGTCATCTTCAAGAAACCAGTTTGAGACTATCTAACCGTTGCAAACATCGTCATGCTGGAAGCAGCCACCAGAGAATATATGTAGGTACACTGTAGGGCTGCCACAAACCATTATTTTGATAGTCGACTAGTCAC